CCTGAGTTCATGAGGCTTAGGGTTGATTTTGTCCTGCTGCACGTGTTACCGGATGTTATCGGACAGGCACAAGACGAACTGGTGACTTTGCAAAAGGTACTGTGAGATACGAAGTCGTTACGGTAGCATAGAAGTCAGCTTACCTGGACGACCAAGTGGCAAGCTTACGTTTGGTTTATCGGACACATTTTAGACTTTTAGTTTAAATCTAAATCGAGTACTGGTTGGGCCTATGCTGGATGAAAGATGAAAGACAAAAGAAGAAGGAAAAAAAAACACATAAAGATAATGCGCTGACGTTAATTATAAAAATAACACAACAACAAACATACTACCTGAGGGCAATCCTTGATGTAGTGTCCCTTGGTGAAACACAGGTGGCACAGGTAGGAGCTGGGTGGTCGCTTGCTGAGCCTCTTCTCCTGGGCCAAGGTCAGATCCGAAAACTGGTCAGCTAGGTCCACTATACTGCTGTAGGGAGAGGGGCTGGACACGGACTGGGACGGAAATGGGGTCTGTGTAAACAGAGACAAATAAAAAGTTAAGGACATTTGTCATCGCCCTCAGGCGTATTAGACATGTAGGGCTAGACCTTTATTTTATAAACCAATCGGCACCTGATGGGTGATGTGGTCAGCATCTCGCCAGCCGCCGTTACTTCCTAGGACTTTATCCGGTTTCCAGATAAAGGAGCGAAGATAGACACACAATGGTCATGCCAAAATGATGTTTGAATTTTGTAAAATTAAAAATTATTGACGAAACAAGTAATATTTATTCAACTTCCCATCGTCCTTTTTAATGTTTAGGACAAGCTTTAGTGACTACGCGGCATCCGTGGTTTAGGCGTTGCGAGTCTGACTCGTAACCCAGCCTACCGCGATCGAAACCCACTGCTGGCTGCGTGAATTTTTATCATGGTACTGGGCGTCGCAGGTCGACCTAGCCTAAAATGGGTACAAGGATGGGCTGTCCTGGGAAAGTAAAGACAGCCGGCGTAATGCTGACCACAGTACCAACTGAGTGCTGATGGTCTGTAAAAATATGGGCGCTCTTTCCATATGCCCGATACGTGGAAAGGGATCTTAACTTTTTTACTGTTTTTAGTGACTACGGCTCACGTGTCAATCGTGGCCTATGCAACGATTTTAAATGGCACACTGAGTGACGTGAAGTGCACTATACGGTCTCATGTTTAATGTAAATAGAAAATTATATCATCCAAATTCGTCCTTTTTAGGACGAATTATTTTTTCATTTGAAGCCCTACTCTGGCTTTTGCCAGGGGCCGCAATATAGGCAGGCCATACATATGGCCAAATGTCTGAACGCGGTTTCTGGGACCTCTCCACGGCGATCCTCATCCACATGGTGGCACATTGTGTCATCGGGTGTTTATTGCTTGTGTGATGTCCTGGTGGGGTAGAAAGTCCGTCCGTCCGTACATAGAAAAAATAGAAATATATTTAACAAACGGACCTTGTGCCTGTATTTGCCAGTTTTCAGGGCCATGTGAGATATCTGAGCCTTAAACCTGCGGCTAGTGAAATCGCAGCAATTGTGCAGGTTAGGATTTTTATTTTAGCCTCTTTTTTAAAAACTGCTACCCAGGTGGTCCAAACTAAAAGTCCAAAACTTGTAATTGATCGACCAGTCCTCAGCATAAGAGAATTTTTTTTTAAAGAACAAATTGTTTTGTTTCAATAATGTTTTTTTTTTTTAAATATCTAAACAAAATGTGTTCTTGGGTTGGGATACTGCGTGACTTTGCATCTTTACTTCAGCCCACCACTAGTAACATTTGCTGAGCCCTGCACTATGATATGAAACCAAGTGACTTGATAAACGTTGCTCTTTCCCAAGTGGGTTGCTTATAACTGGTGATAGTGTGGTGCCTAATCCGCTAGCTTAAAATGCATTTAATAAAAAAAAAGTTCTACATTTAAACTGCGCTCTGCAAGGTAAACATTACCTACACCGCTTATCTAAAAGCCACGACACGGCTATTTACTACTACTATTATCATGTTTTGTTTAGATAAACAAATCTGATTAATGTTAAATAAAGCGAGTGTAAAAAATAAACATTTATTTTCGTTTCGCGAGGCAAGACGCGCCCTGGTTACATAAAAGAAAGTATAGTAAGGTGGCGCTATTTGGCGCCCTGGCACCATCACACCACTAGTCACTTCAACGTCTGACGTTTTCCTTAGTGAGGGAAAACAGTTATCAATCCTAATCTCAGGAAAGAGGTTGAACGTTAAGGCAGTCAGAGACTGCAGCTGAATGAATACACTGGGACGTCGAACATAAGAAAACAGGCAAGGTTTCTGTAGAGGCCAGCTCTTTCGAATGCGTTCCTATCGTCCGTATCATTGACACCGTTGTCTTTCGTTTATATTCTTATCTACGCGTCAGGGGTCACCTGGCAATGATATGTGCACATAGGACAGATATGGCTACGTTGTTTGATATGGCCGTTTGTTCTGCATTAACCATATTTCATCTAGTTAAGGATATGTGTAATCTGGTGTTTCTTATTTTCTCTATTCTCTGACGTGACATTTAGCAAGAATCTTTTGTTCCGTGTTAAGCAGTTTCGCTTTTATCTGATTACAGGTACCGGGAATCTTTTTTCTTTTTTTCTGACAGCATTCTCTTTTCTCCTGCTAAAGATGTGTGTTTTTTTCCTGACTTTACCCCTTTTTCTCATGCTAAGAATACTTTTAGCCTACAATCTCTCTTCTCTAACATTGAATATAATGAGAATCTATTGTTTCTGATGTTCAGTTGGAAGGATGCTGACAATTTGTTTCTGATGTTCAGTTGGAAGGATGCTGACAATTTGTTTCTGATATTTTTGCTTCTCTCTGATTGAAGATACCGAGAATATTTTGTTTCTGACTTTTCCAGCCCCCCCCCCCTTCTCTCTCTCTCTCTCTCTCTCTCTCTCTCTCTCTCTCTCTCTCTCTCTCTCTCTCTCTCTCTCTCTCTCTCTCTCTCTCGCTCTCTTTCTTACCCACTTTATCTCTACCCTTCTCCCTAACTTTCTCTCTTTTTCTCGCCCGTCTAAAACTCTCTCTCTCTCTCTCTCTCTCTCTCTCTCTCTCTCTCTCTCTCTCTCTAACTATCTCTAGATATTCAGATCGCCGATATAGGGGGTGCATTCCAAGTGCAGTCATCATGCTTTAGTGTTATCGATATGTCAGATATATCTCGCAATAGATTCCTCCGATTCGTTCTGTCCCATTCAGTCTTTTCAATGTCATGGTTGGAGTTCCGTACAGCACCGTTGGTCACCGTCCTCAGGCTCATCCGCGGGTTTCTGTTAGACTTCCTGGCTTCATTTATGTCCCATATCACTATACATATTTTGTGCTTTTTTGATCGTTTCGCCTCAGATTGTGCCCATTATGTCTAAATCTTCACCTGAAAGCTGTGGAATCCAGCGATTGTCAAAATATTTAATTCAAAGACAAGAACAGTTGACACTGCAACATAGTGTCTTTTTGAAAATGTCCACATATGCTTTAAATATCTACGTTTCAAAATAAACAACAATGGAGTCTGTTATACAGAGATCAGAAAGGAATGACCATGGTAATGCAATATGAAGCAGCATCAAAAGCCTATGGCTAAAAAATACTGTCGTTGCTGACTACATTTATTATTTTGCGGTGTAGGTGGAATAAAAGTGGAAGGGAGGGGTGGGGTGGGCGTCCGAAGCCTAAGGATTTCAATCCTTAAGCTAGTTCACTTGCCACAAACTGTGCTGGCCAGGATTTTTTAGCAAATAATAATAATCATAATCTCTTACTATGTATCTAGCCCGGGCTTCCTGCATGAGAGCCCGAGAGTCGTTCGCTATGTCGCTATCACAGAGGAAGAAAAATCGGAGCTTTTAAACTGAAATGCTAAATCAATTGTCAGAAGACCACGGATCAAGACAAGAAAAAGGCAGAAATATTAAAAAATAAAGGACCCTTTTCCACGCTATCAAGCGTATTCGACATATAGATCTAGACCCATATTGTTAAGACCAATCGGCACTTAGGGGGTTATGTGGTCAGCATCTCGCAGGCCGCCTTTACTTTCTCTGACTTGTACCTGGTACCCACTCAAGACTGGTTGGACCTGGGATTCAAGGTCATTTTTGAAGAAAAAAAAAATTACGGCTCCGTCAGGACCTGAACTCACGACCTTCCGATCCTAGCCGCCACATCACTCCTGGTAGGAATATTGACATTCTAAAAGATGTGAACCTCGAAGAAAACTAGATGGTAAACAACATCTTGTGTCAGAAAACCTGGCCATATAAAACCTGGCCATATAAAACCTAGCAATGGCTTGGACAGAACAGTAATATATAGCATGTTGCCGGGGGAAAGAGACAGGGACCGACCAGCACACAAGTGAGAACAGACATATGAGACGCTTGGACAAGAAAGGGCATGCACACTGTAGCTGGAGAGTTTGTTTGTTGTTTGTTTTAGTATCCAGAAGCCATGAGTTGTTAACCCTTAGGCTCGGTATTAGGGATATCGCAACCTTTCGGCCTTGATTCCATTGTAAATACCGTAAATCTGGGAGAAAATGTGGCTTTCCTGCCTACCCCCGGGATTGAACCCGGACCACAAGGAGTACGTCACCAGGTCTCCGCGAAATCCGGTTTAGCCAATTCCGCTAGAGAGCCGGGTGTAGCTGGAGAGTAAGAGAGTTCATTTCAGACGCTCACTGAAGGGAGCGACGTACCTAACCCGCAAAGGAGACTGAAGCATCCCTTACAGGTTTCCCAGTAGCTACTTTTTAAAATGGTTTAAATGGGGTATGTGGGAGCGCCCATCTGGTCTGCTATTCAAACTGAGGTTTCTTTTTTTTTTTTTTTAACCTCAGGGTGTCAAACCTTCAGGTAGCAGCCCGAATGGGATAATAGTACGGTAGTAACCTATTGTAGATGGCCTGCAACATGATATGATGATGATGATTGGTGTCTTCACTTACCGAGTTCAAGCTGCTGTAACCATGTCTAGGGTTAGACCAAGGTTCGGCAAATACGTTGTGGCCTGACAGTCCGTTGGTTTTTATGAGATTATTCACGTTGACCATGCTGGTCAGCGGTGATTGGATGTTTCTCCCGCTCAACGCGTGCAGGGGCTGGATGTTCCCGTTTAGGAAGTTCCCATTGGCTACAGATTGAAAATTTCCATTGGTCAGACTACTACTAGAGAAGGAATGAATATTCCCATTGGTCAAAGAATGTAGACTTCCATTTACAAAATTTCCGTCACAAGAAGACAAAACTTGAGTTCCTGATCCGCTTTTAGAACTAAGACTAGACTGTTGATAATGGTGCTTGGGGTGGTCGGCCAACCACATGTCATTTGTGTTGCCACTAGTGGCATCATCATTAGAGTATATGTTAGAGATGTTGTGGCCTGGCTGTTGGCGTAGCGGTTGGTCTGCAAGAGTCAGGTACATCCAGTTGAGGAACTGGTTTTGTTGGTACAGGGTATCCACGGGTGACGTCATTATTGGTGTGTTTTCTACAGTCGGGAGAAAATAATACCCAGAATCCTCATACTACCATGGCCTTGAACTGGTGAAGCTAAGGTCCGCTGGCAGATGTTACTTCTGAAATAAATACAAACATAATGTATGAAATATTCGACAAAATAAAGTTAGACAACCACAAAAGGGCATGGGAGTTGAATGCTTTTGAAAACAAATGGCTGGTGAATTTTTTTTTCTTCTTTTCTCTACTCCTGGAATACCTTGCTGCTTCAAGGCAGAAAATCTCTGAAACGGCCCTTTTGTTCGCTTCATATAAAGTTTTTTCAATCTCTCAAATGTGTTAGTGGTCCATATTCTGCGTGGTTGACCTCTGGCTCTGTTACCGCAGTATTTATATAACATTGCTCTCTGTGGTGCCCTGTCTGATGCCAGTTTTGTTACATGGCCAAACCATTTGATTTGTTGTCTACCTAAAAAGTTCAGTATTGGTTCTGTGCCCACTCTCCTCCTGATATTATCATTCCTAAGTCGATTATTTCTCGTTACACCAGCATAGTATGTAAACATTTTATTTCTGTCATGACTATATTCCTTTTGTCTTCAGAAGACAGTGTCCATGTTTGACATTGACAGCACAGCGTTGTTAAGAATATTGTATTGAACAGTGTTAATTTAGTGTTCATATTCAGATGCTTGCATTTCAAAATTGGTACTATTTAGCCTAAAACTTGATTGGCTTTATTTTATCTTTGCTGGATTTCTTATTATTTTTCCGTCTAAAAAAAATGCCCTCCAGATATAAAAATCCTTCGCCTACTTTAACTGGTGTTCACCTATTTTGATATTGACAGTTCTTCTCTTTCGGGAGAATGTCATCACTTCTGTTTAGTCAACGCTAATCTTCATATCATAGTTCTGACATTCTGAGTGAAGTCTATTCTTCTTCTTTTTTCGTTCGCCTGAAAAAAGTTGTCTATATCAATAATTTTGTCTCTTGTATGAATTTCACTGTCGTTGTTAGTTCATTTAGTGCTCCATAGAGTTTACGTTCTACTGTTATTCTTTCTGGCCAAAAGGTTTGCCTTAATGTGTCAAATTCGGTGTAGTCCCGGAGTACATGCTCTGCTTTTTGGGTCACCTTTTCACAGGTGCACATGGCTGATACGCCTATCTGGAATTTTGTGTACATGTGGTTACGTAATCGGTTGTGCCCTGTTCTGAGGCGGAAGATAATGACTTGTTCTGATCTGTCCAAAATTAAATAGTCGTCTTGTGCTGGGGCTGGTGGTTTCCTGATCTATTTAACCATTTTTTTTTGGGGGGGGGGGGGGGGGTGGTATGTGACTGGTACATCCGGCTGTACTTTTGTCGCACCTTCCCCTGCCAGTTAATCAGCTTTCTCATTTCCAGGCACTCCCCAATATGACTGTATTCACTGCATTACGACTCTTCGCTGAAGGCTAAGTTGTGTCAGCGGTGTTTGCAATTCTGGTAGTTTCCAAGACTGGAGTGCTTCAAGTACTGATTTTGCATCCTGTCAGCATTACCACATACTGTGAGCCAAGATTGGTATTAGCAGTTTCTCTGTTGTTATCATGATAGCCTGAGTTTCTGCAACATAGTTATGGCAGTACTTCCCGGTTGGTACGCTGGACTTATCCCTAGTACCATCTGGGAATTCGATGTACACTCCAGCACCACCATTTCTAACTGCACTTTCTGCGGACCCATCTGTATAAGCTCTGACTCATTGTTCTTGTGGGTATTCTACCTCAATATAACAGAGGGTGGCCATTCTGCGTTGTGCACTATCTTGCTCTTTCTTGTCAAATATTCCTTTCACATTTGTCTGGATTTGTACTGTTAGTTTGCATTTCTCTCTCCATGGGGTTTGTTCTGGAATACTTTTAAGTGTGCAACCAATTTCTGGAAGGTCAGCAGTTTGTCTACATATTCTTTTTGCTTGATGTATAAAGCTGCTTTTTTTTTTAACCGTCCCAAGGCTAGGTTCTGAAATCTATTTTTCATTTGGTGATCTGGCATACTGAGGAACTTTTCAGCTTGTATTTGCAATTGTGTATCTCTGCGTTCTCCCAGTGCCTTTGTTTTCCCAGCTTTTTCCATTTATAATGTGGGGGTTGATTTCATCTCTCCTGTGATGACTCTGAGTGCTTGATTTTGCACTTTGTCCAACTCCTTTATTGTGGTACTAGATGCTGAACACCATGCAGTTGACCCATATTCCAAAGTGGAGTCTATTAATATATTCGTACTATGACTGCCTGGTCATTGGCGAATAGCAATTAATTTAGTAATTCTCCGATGTTGTATCTGTTAACCAGCTGATGAAAACTATGAACACAAAATGGGATGAATTCAAGATGGGTAAAGAAATGAGAGAAACGTCTAGACAATCACTAGTATCAGTGGTTATAAGACAGGGAACATACGTCTAGACAATCACTAACACCAGTAGTTATAAAGCAGGGAACATACGTCTAGACAATCACTAGTATCAGTGGTTATAAAGCAGGGAACATACGTCTAGACAATCACTAGTATCAGTGGTTATAAAGCGGGGAACATACGTCTAGACAATCACTAGTATCAGTGGTTATAAGGCAGGGAGCATACGTCAAGACAATCACTAATATCAGTAGTTATAAAGCAGGGAACATACGTCTAGACAATCACTAGTATCAGTGGTTATAAGACAGGGAACATGACGTTATATAAGACACATTTTGAGAAGAGAGAAACAAAGTATCACCAAGCAGGCATTTCCATCCATCCAGCTATGAAGAACAATTCCCCCCCCCCCCCCACCAAAAAAAAAATCGACCACGTTCAACCTACTATGAGCAGTATCGGTTATAATTGTGCCAGATATGTTGGCTAAGAAATGTTAATTGCACCAAAACGAGTGGCTTGGGCCGGTACTCAGTACCCAGTGAGGGCTGTTGAGGAGGGCGCTGGTACGCATGATACACACCCACATTCATATATAGACATCCATGTACAATTGCAAATATATATATATATATATATATATATATATATATATATATATATATATATATATATATATATATATTTGTGTGTGTGTGTGTGTGTGTGTGCGTGTGTGTGTGTGTATTGTAAAGGACCCTTTTCCACGCCTTTAGGTGTATTGGAATATAGGGATAGACACACACACACACAAAACAACATGCACGTCGGCACGCCCAGGTGGGAATGCACGTATAATTGTTGGCATACACACACTTGTATATACTGAATGGGAAATTGAGGTTTTGAGGAAGCGAGAATGTCGGTGCTTTATTAATATCCTAACCCAGATAACATCACAGGACAGTCCAACATCTTAGAGGGTGGTTAGACTGGGTTTCCCGGCTTTCTGATGCTTTTAACGACCCGAAAGCATATAGAACTGGCCCTAACCCCAATCCACCAAAGTTCACGACAGAGTGCAGCCCGGGACCCACGACTGCATGCAGCCTAGGTCCCACGACTGCATGCAGCCTAGCTACCACCCACTGAAATATTTGACTGTCCCGTGACTTGTGGGTTTTCCCCTGTTTGGGCTAAGATATTATTAGAGCACCAGAACGTCTAAGAGAAACCATAATAGGAATGTGGAAGAGAGAAGCTAAAGCTACTGGACTGGATTCTATACATGATATTGAATTGATTTCACAGACTAGAACGGAATACAGAAATAAACTGCAAACCCTATGTAACATATAATGATACATCAGGATAATGAATGAGTGAATGCATGAATGAGTGAATGCATGAATGAGTGAATGCATGAATGAGTGAATGCATGAACGAGTGAATGGATGAATGAGTGAATGCATGAATAAGTGAATGCATGAATGAGTGAATTCGAGACATGAATAACAGGGAAATTAGGGATTCGGTTTAGGTTTAAGTTTAGGTTTAGGTTTAAGTTTAAACAACAGATCAACATCATGGCACAAGGGTAGTAACCCATAAGTTCACCATTTTACTTCTAACTCAATTCTGAGCCCGAAAGTTCTCAGCGCAGTGCGCCGAATCCTAGCATCGGCGAGGATCCTGAAATACTTTAGGCAGATTTTTAACTGCACCAAATTGTGAAATATATGATACCTTTCACACTTCACAGAATAACGGGAATATGATGTTGGTCTCACATATCTATTAGTCAATTGTTACTCGATGTGTGCTGTGTTCAGTATCTGGTTGAAATTGCCTGGTAACGATTAAAAGTCCTTCTTTTTTCTTACATTACCTCTCCGAGTTGAAATGAAACACACACTGTCACCTGGCCAACATGCAAGTATCGCCCCAAAACTTAGGAGCTCAGGTGCCCTGAGGATCTCCCCTACCCCCCCCCCCCCTTTTTCCCCCACTCCCGGGTCCCATTAGGTTTACATAAATATTACAATTTAAAGAATTTATTTATACATTAGGCATTGTTTTAAACATATTAATTTTGTTTAACATTTAGCGCAGTATTTCCTATTATTTCTTCTTCTTCTTCTTCTTCTTCTTCTTCTTCTTCTTCTTCTTCTTCTTCTTCTTCTTCTTCTTCTTCTTCTTCTTCTTCTTCTTCTTCTTCTTCTTCTTCTTCTTCTTCTTCTTCTTCTTCTCCTTCTCCTTCTCCTTCTTCTTCTTCTTCTTCTTCTTCTTCTTCTTCTTCTTCTTCTTCTTCTTCTTCTTCTTCTTCTTCTTCTTCTTCTTCTTCTTCTTCTTCTTCTTCTTCTTTCTTCTTCTTCTTCTTCTTCTTCTTCTTCTTCTTCTTCTTCTTCTTCTTCTTCTTCTTCTTCTTCTTCTTCTTCTTCTTCTTCTTCTTCTTCTTCTTTCTTCTTCTTCTTCTTCTTCTTCTTCTTCTTCTTCTTCTTCTTCTTCTTCTTCTCTTCTTCTTCTTCTTCTTCTTCTTCTTCTTCTTCTTCTTCTTCTTCTTCTTCTTCTTTTTCTTCTTCTTAGAAAATTATTACACACACACACACACACACACTCACTCACTCACT